TTCAGGGATGACTCATAAATGAGGTTCTAGGTATTTTTTTGTACGATGTAAAGAGCTACGGAGTTTAAAATCACACTTTATGCTGGACCGAATTTGTGATCGACCCCTTATTAGTCTTGCCTGTTGACAGCACAGGCTTCTATTTAAATGTATCATATTCTCATAGTCAAAAATTTTTGTCTCTCATCTTTTTTGCCTTCGTCGTCGATCCATAAATAAAAATAATTTTACATAGTTGATGATGACGAGAAGAAAAGATGACGATGATATATGTTCACATACATTATTTTTGTGCATATAGGATGAAGTTTAAAAATGGTAATGGAGTATAAATAAAAGTATATGGATATATATCTCAATTATAATTTCCTGTTTGCAGCAACGCCAAAAACAAAACAAAAAAATCTTTCTTTTTGATGAGTTTAGAAGAAAATTTCACAATGCTTTTTTAGAGTGTCGAGACGGGAAATTCGAAAATATTGAGCTCGACTTGACCCACTTGAGGAACTTGTAATATTTTTCCAGTGGATTTATTTCTTCATAAACCATCGACATATCCCCCCAATTGAAGATTAAGTTCAAGTGGAATTTATGTATAAAAAAAAAGATCTTTAAGCGTGATGTTGACATTAAAAAGTAATAAGTAATAATATGCACGAGTGACGAAATCGTATTGTGCAAAAAATGACTTACAGTTGGCTATTAAAGCGCATTTTTGCCGATAGCAGTTTTATAGATTATCTCATTATGAATAAAAAATTGTAGCTTAATTAAAAAGATCTTTTATGCAATATTTGTTGATATATTGTGAAATTTGACGTGATTATAGCTTCATGTCGACATGAATAAGCAAGTTTAGAATATTTCACCGAAAAATTACAAATTCTAGATAATTCTCATATTGCATAATGAATAATTTTGCATTATAAATCATGCTGATGAAAAATCCCCTCAATTTATCATCTGATTAGCTTAGGGCTATCGATAACTAGCCAGAATTGATCTAGATTTATTGATTCTATTGAAATTGCGTCAGTTGAAATATTCCCAGGTGACTTATGCGAATTTTCGTGATTATTCTTTGAATTTGTGTGATATCACAAGCTTTTATCTATTTCTCATACTTTCTTAACTAAGTTTTATTAAATGTGATTAAAGTTCTTTTCTACGCTATCAGGTGTGCAGCTTATCTACAAATCATTTAAATCGAAAACAATTGCTAGACTCATTAAGTAAACTGCACATCTAAATTTCAAAGCTAATGGTGTCAAATAAGTGTGAAAAAGGGTCAAACCTCAACTAATGAGTGCCACTTAAGGACCCCCACTTCAGTCACATGTCTCAAAAAGAAAATGTGAAACTATCAATTCTATCAAGTCATGAAGCAGTCATGAGACACGTCTCAAGATGTTTCTTTATTTCAAATTGAAAGAGCAACAAATAAATATGGCACATAAGTAGTGTCAAATAGTCGTCAAATTGATTGCGATAAATGTGACTCTGTGTGACTGCGACAATAGTAATGGAATGGAAGAAAGAGAGACTAACTTATAATTTGCATTGTAATATGGACTTTAAATAGTCATATTTTTCAATTCTCTCACATTCCTTGAATCATATTTCAATTTGAATTGGTATTTCTCGCTTTACGATCTTTATTGATCCATCATATTGCTCTTTTGTTGCAGTTTCCTTTAACTATTACATCAGCTGGCGACTGTGAACAAGCGAGACAGTGCCGTAAATGGAAATTTTCAATTGTTTGCTGTATATGACATTTGCGTAATTTGATTTCAAACAGGCAACACGAAAATAATAACAACAACAATTCTACATTAAGTATAGTGCTGAAGGATCATTAGAAACTTTTTATTTCTTCTACTGGTTGCCAATATAATTGCCATCATCATCGGTACAAGAGGATTATAGTGATATTTTTTCTTCATCTGTTCATCTGTTGTTCTTAAAAAGTCGATTCAATTAATTTGCAAAATCGCAAAATAATGATCATAATAATGTAATATACAGAATGAGGAAGTAAAATACCGTATGGTAAGAAAGAAGAAAACTGTTTTCTTAATTTTTGTATATTCAGCGACAATTACAGCAGCCTTAACCTTCCAAGACTCATAATTTAATTGATTTAATGAATATAAGTGAAGATTTGGATCAATGCTTAATTTAATTTACTCATGGGGCAGTCTATAATTTATGTTGGCTATTTTTGAACCTTATTAGGTTTCTTGACGTTAAAATCAGCATGAAAAATTTGTATTAACCCCACTCAAGCCTAGTGTCACCTGATTTCCAAAGAATCCCTTACTTTTTATGCTGATGTACTTAAATGTTCAAGTTTATTTACTTTATGTTTGTGCACCGAGTCATACTGACTGCAGTTGTGACAATTTAGAGACTTTTTAAGGTCTTTATCATTGTACAAATGAATTAACGACACAAAAAAATACATTCATTCATGCACTTTGATATTTAATTTAATTTAATAAACACACATCAAGCGAGAAAAGAGAGGGAAGCTGACTGAGACGCGATAAAATAACGACAAACATGTGTTTGCTAGTCGTAAAGTAAAGCACATTTGTACTTAGACGCAATATCTAAAGTGATATAAAAAAATGTGAATGATGATAATCATTAAGTTCATATTTAGTAAATGAAATAATATCATTGAGACAATTGGAGACATCGATAACTGTGCTTCCACGCCAATAAATATATTCGCTGCGCAGTAAGATCGACTTTATAGAAAATTGATCATCATCACTCGACATTCCCTATAATATTCCATATATGGGACTATATGTGAAGCATGAGAAATGATTTTTCAATCAGCAATTTAATTATGATACATGAGTGATATCGATAGTGCTTCCTCATTCGTGAAATTGATACATTCGGTATTTAAAAGCAAAAACATACATAAGCATGTGTGTATGGCAGGCTATATAAAGATAAAAGAGCAAAAGAGACTTGATTGAAGTCCAATGTCACCCAACTAATGATTGTACAACATCATCATCGTCATTGTCATCACTCAGATTGATTGGTTGGTTAAAAATTAAACAGTTATTTTTGCCTTCTGGAACAAGTGCCTGCCTGACATTATTCATAATAATAATTTTTTTTCGCGAAAGATCATACGCATTGAAGGTCATTGGAGCCGCATTTCTTCTACCAACTCTTTTTTTTTGTTGAGCGCAATGAGGAAAGGCTTTATTTATTTCATGAAAGAGCCATAAAATTTTATGGTCCACTGACAGTCATTAAATATTAAATTGCAATTATGCTCTCTCGAAAATATTTTTGCATACATGCTCGGTCTCATCACAATTTTTACATCGTTTATCGTACTACTTTTAGATTGGTCAGGAGGAGCCGAAAGCAGTGCTTTCCTTCCTCATTTAATGATGTTTGAGGAATGTATTTTGGAAAAATTGACGATAGAACTGTGAAATTTTAACATTTTTTAGTGTCATCCGACAGTATATTAGTTCTAGATGATTTTTGGCTTTAGTTCAACGTTCATTTAGCTCAAGTTCAAGATGCTTGATTCAGCAGTAAACACATGTGGTGAGAACCACATCAAAAAATTCCTCAATTTACAGACAAATTGCAAATTAAACGTTCATTATGTCTTTTAGAAATCACGCTATTAAAACGAGGAACAAGCATGGTTGTCAGCTGAACAGAAACTTTTTTCCCAAGTCCGAAATTAAAGTATATATATTTTTTGGGGTTTCAAATAACTGAGAGTACATTGTGCTATACACGAAAAAAAAGATTATAGTGAAAACCTGTCGCTCGCTGACTGACAATTTACACACATATTAAGATCACGGAAAGTGCCGGTACGCAGTAGATACATATTTTTTTGAGAGTTGTCTTTCTCCACATCTCACATTATGGCTGTGGACTTTCTTTTGCCGTTTTCTCGCGCGACGACGGCATGTAAAGTTGTTTTTGTCTGAGCCATGCTCATGATAACCTACATTTGATAAAATACAACGCACCATAATCGGCAACAATATTTATTTCTCTCTCTCTCATTTCTATCTCTTTAGACGAAGTCATCTAACACATATGCATGCACAAAACTGGCTAAACTATATGATTATTATTGTTATATTGGTTATTTCTCTTTTTTTGGATTTTAATTTAATATGTGATTTGAAATATGTGAAGGTTTCCAATGTCGTTTGAGTCATTATAATTTCACATCGTCTGTTTGCGTCACTTTACCCCGTAAAATAGATGTTGTGATAAACATCATGATCATGGACTTACATGATGATAACGAAAAATGTTATAATTTGATTTATTTGATTACTCTTGTCGTCGTTGTCGTCGTGTGATTTTCAAGGATGACCTTGCTCGAGTTTCCCAACTTTCTTCATTTCCTCCTTCTTTCTCACTCTCTCTCTGTCGCAGGACTGACAGATTGTTATTTTCGAGAGGAACCGATCCCAGAAGACACACAACAATGAATACTTTCGCTAATAGAAATCTCGTTAATCGCGAAAAATATAATAATTCCAAAATCGTCGTCGTCATCGTCAATGAGGAAAAATGAAAGGAAAAATATATATAAATGTGCCTTATACACAATTATTGGTTCACTCGCCTGTTCATGCAAAAGAGTCTTGTTGCGAATATTCAATAAATGAAGGAAAAAAATCAGTATTAGCTAGGTAGTCGAGTATTTATTGAATGAGAAAGAGAGAATATGTAAGGCGCAAGTATATTTCTTTCTACTTCTTATTTCATACTTTTCTGTTGTTGTTGCTGTTGCTGCTATATAGAAATTGTGCAGTTTTGCAATATATATGCATCAAAAAAAAAAAAAAAACTTGAACGAATTTTTTGCAGCTTTACTCATAAGTGAGTAAGAAAATATGGTCACACAAAAGCAGGAGATTATAATAAAAATGTGCATAAACGCTTGCCTGCTTCTTGTTATTATTAGGATGGCAGATGGAACTTACCTTGCAAATGGTTTAATTTCGACGTCATAATGTTTCTCAATGTCCGTATCTGATACGAGAATCTTTTGAAGAAACTCTTGTTTCGCATTCAACAATCCGTCTCCGATGTGATTTACTTCTTTTGGTAACATATTCAAAATAACTTTTATAACTTTTGTAACTTTAATTTAACACAAATTTTAGAACTTTTCTCTTTTTTCAAAATATTATTTTTTTAAACTTTTTTTTTTCCAAAATACAGGCTGAATAACACTAAAGAAATGTCAAATAATAAGAAAATACTTTTTTAAGACGATCGTTTCTTATGATTTTTTCACTCTTTTTTTCTTTCACGGAATTTATTTATTTTTTATGCAATAATTTCATGTTTTCACTAATTTCATCACTTTTCTAACACGATACTTGATCTTTATACTGTCCATCGCTTTAAGATGCTTCCAAGAATTATTCTCAATAAATTTTCTGAAGCACTTTACCGATGAAACACTGAATTAGTAATGAATTAACAAAATAAAGTTTTTGAGCCTTCTTTTCAACTGTTTTGAGAGCGAGAGTCAATTTCGAAATATTCTCTTTCGACTTTTCGAACTTCCGTTCAAATAGTTTTTTACCGTTATTGTTATACAAATCTAATTTATGAATTTTTTAATGATTTTCTTTGGGATTCTATATTAAGTGTAATTAATTTATGCTGTTGAATACTTCAAGTTGTCAGGTTTAGCAATATACAGAGAAAAATCAAAATTCGCGTCAAATTAGTTTTTACTTAAAATTCCCAAATCACTAACCATCCATTAACATCCAGTTAAGTTTCCAACGTTAAACGAAGATTTTCGTGTTAATAAATAATTTTAAATGTAAACAAATCTTTGAATTCCAAATAGTTTTCGAACACATATTTTTGAATTTTCAAAAGCCGTTAAAATTTAAATGATTGAATTAATAACGTCAAAAATATTGAAATGGAAGAATTAACACTAATGTGAATTTGGTAAAAAAGCAATCCCTTGATGTGGGGCCGTTCACTTATTACGTTACGCAAAAAACGACTTTTTTCACCCCCCCCCCCTCCCTTGTTACAATATGTTACAACTTACAACCCCCCCCCCCCCTGAACGTTCATAAATAAAAAAATGTTTTTGGTGTGAATTTGTAAACAAATTTTTTTTCGTGAACTTTTTTTTAAAAGACCTTTTAAAAGACAGACGACAGTTAGAACGTTACATACTTCTTCACACCCCCCCCCCCCCCCCCCGATGTTACATTATGTTACAATTTTTCAAACCCCCCCTCCCCCCTAAAATGCGAACGTAATAAGTGAACGACCCCTATGACATTTTTGAAGTCATAGGACGTTCGAGACATATTTAGTGCAGTTCAATCTAGATTAGATTACCTGAAAATAATAAAAACAACAAAATTGTTGTCGATAAGAGTCAGTCATGCTCCTTTCGTTCATTTATCTTTTTGCATTTTATCAAGGTTTTGTCGAAAATATATTGTTTAAAATTGGGAAAAAGGTTGAAAGCTTCAAATGGATGTAAATGACTCTATTAAGCCCAAATTTTCAGAGGCTCATTTCTTAAATTAAACTACACGATACGTGATTAGACCTAATGTATTCACCCGTATTCAAAAAAAAAAATTGCAACCGTCACTTGTCTTTAATTCCAACACCTGCTAATCACCACTGATGTAAAGTTTACGTTAATTTAAGCAGCACTGCGAGAATATTCGAAAACACGTCTTGTGTTTTTACGTTTGAAGAAAAACTGAACAAAATGTAAACAAATGGAAAAGCAATGTTAATTGAGAAAATTAAAAAAATCTGTTGAGAATCCTGAAAAAATCGTCAAAGACTAATGTACGTGACGAAAATCAGCATGTAGAACAAGCCAAAGTCTGAAAAGTATAACAAAAAAAAGACAAACAAATAATTTTAAAGATTCAAATATATATTTTTATTATTTTTTATTTTCATTTCTCATTATATTGCATATATCTTTTGAAAGTAAATTACATTTACACAAGGTGATTTCGAATCCAGTGATTCATTAGCATCAGCATGCAAAGAAATTTTATCTACAGCACTGCTGATTCATTGATCTATTCTGTAGAGACATTTGACAATTTTTCTGATTCATTTATTCTTATTTTGATGCATGGCTGATTCAAAAATGAATTTTTTGTAGATTTCTCAGCAAAAAAAAAAGGAAGAGATTTATTGGAAAAAGAACTTGAATAAATATCATTTCAACAAGTTTAAATAGTTTTTTTTTTCGAAAGAATATATTCTGCTACTAATTTCCTGTTTCTTTTTCATTCTCATCAATTATTATTTTTATTTTTTTGTTAAATATATTTCTCATTAAAACTGTCGAGTTTTATAAGATTTCGTCTTTAAAGCAACATTAGTTATTCTGTTCATTTGTGATTATGATTTTCTTTTAATTAATTTTTAGCTAAGTCAAAGAAAATAATAAGAAGTTTTTATGAAGGGGTTCTGTTCAATAGTGACGTCAATTGAGAATTTTGCTAGGTCTTAATTTGAATCTAACTGGATGCTCGATTCTGAGAGGCTAGCATTCATAACATTGAATAAGATATAGACTTGGGCACCCAATTGAGACCTAGAAACTAATCCCAATTGTTTATTCAGATGGATAAGTTCTTGATTTGGTTCATCTATCCTCGTTCCAAAGAAAAGACTTCCTCCAAATTCTCAACATTATCAACGAACCCAACCCAACCCCCCACCATTTCCATGTTTTGGTATCAGTAGCTTTAGCATTTTAAATTTTTTATTTATCATGTGCACCAACTTAATCAATTAGCCTTGTGAATTTCCTTTTAAATCTCATCAATTTATTTCCTTTTCGAGAGATTCATTGCTTCTCACACTCACACACATGCCATATGTTTCCGAGAGAAGAAAACAAACTTAATAGCAATGAATATAAAATATCAGTTAAGTCATCACCTCTTTTAATTACAAATCCTACGTTTGATTGCTTTCAAAATTCTAATTAATTAGCCATTCTTAATGTTTTCTTGCTTTTGACTTGATAAAAATGTTGCGTTGTTAAAAATTGAAATTTGGAAGAATTAATTTGGATGATGAAGAGGCTTTGGGTTTGAGGGAGGCTTTTTTTTGACTGGAGCTTATTTGAGTTGTTCAATAGGTGCCTATGAATGAGTATCTTGTAAATATAGATCCACCACAGATCTGCGATAAACACTTGAAGCTGCAGACTTTGTCAAATTCCATTCAAAACATTCCAAATTCCTTTTCATCTCCAATTAATTCAATGATAATAAAATATCCAACTGTTAACACAATTAATTCCATCCAAAACATACCAGTGCACTCATTAAACCAGAACAGTTTTTCGAGATATGTAGCTTAATGTATAAATAGTCCGTAATTTGTGCTAAAAAGTTAAACATCTGAAGCTATAAATTTCCAGTTTTCAAGTGCAAGTTTAAGAACAATTTTTTTTTCAAAAAATAATTCTTGCGTATATAAAGAAGTCATGAGTATGCAGTTATTCTTGAATGAAATCGTATGTCGACATATTGTTTATATGAAACTGATTTTAATTATACACAATTCGTGACAGACAGAAGAAGAAAACTAAAATATTTATAAATATAAACTCATTACTATAAAAATGACACACATATGGTAAACAGCATAAATCAAATACATAAATAAATTAAGCATTTAAATAGATAGAATGGATAAGATATAACATACAAATAGATTTTAATTTAAAAAAATTATTTCATCTCCAAGTTACAAGTTAGAGAGGTCGGGGATGAACATTTTCTTTGTTTTCAGACTCAATAATTTCACGCACACACAATAATCTTTAATAATTTAATTGTTTTTTTTTAGAAAAATATTCATCTTTTAATTTTATTTTACATAAGAATTTACGATGCAATCAGTTTTTCTTTTGGGGTGGGATAGAAGTTCTTCATTTATGATTTTTAATTCTATTGCATTATTCTTTTAGGTTCTATAATTTAACGGCTTTTTTCAATTTATCGGTTCAATATTTGAACTTTTATCAGAAGTTAATTTTTTAAATATTTTTTGATCGTTATTTTTTGCATTCAAATTTCAAGAACCTAAATTCTGACCAGAATCATAAATAAAAATTAAGAACCCACCCCACATCAATAGCTGTGTTTTTTGCAAGAAACAAAATATTTTAAAAAAAATTGTAGATTTTATTTAGCATAGATATGATTACAAGAAGATAATTTTCTATAAGTTCCTTTCTTTATCTTTTTTTAAATAGATAGTATTTAAGCTTACAAACTGTTAAGATTTCAGGATTCAATATTTTATTATTCTATATCAACAACTTTTTTATTTCTCTTATGAATTAATTCACTTTTTTATTTGATTTCCTTCAATAAATAATTTTTTATATGTTCTTATTTCCTTGTTTTGCAGCCATAAATAACAAATGGATTTTAAAAACAAGAAACAAAAGACTTTAGTCGTCATAAGGGAGTGTCACTAGCTTACATCCTAATATCATGTTACTCATGTTATGCTTGATCTTTTCTTTTTATAAGAATAAAATTGTTTTTGTCATATAATGGAATAATTAATAATTTCCTATAGACTTCAATCAATAAATAATAAGAATTTTCATATTGTTTAGCTATACATACTTGTAATCATTATTAAGATTCAAATTCAATGTCACTTAGATTGAAAGTAAGATTATATTTTTTGGTATAGGATGGATTATAATCTGTTTTTAAGGTACGGATCTTTTGTAGTAAATTTCCCAATTTCCTTCCATTTTCTTATTCGTTCATAGATGTTATAATTTAATATAAATTAATTTTTTTGGCAATTGTTTTTCGACACCTAAAATAAAAATTTAAAGATTGGTAACGAACTTTTAAAATTTGAACTGTTTTATAAAATTTGAGAAGTCCAAAAATTCAAAATTATAACGGCTTTTAAGGATACTTACATATGACATGTTTTGAGTGTTTCAGCACATTTGGAGCACGCACTATGTCCACATAAAAATGCTACATTCCGTCTTCGTTCCATACATATTCCACACGAGTGTGTCTCCTCAATTTCTAATATTTTACTTTCTAAATATCTCAAGCGATCGGCTGAAGGCTGTCTTTGATTCTCTTTTGGAAGAAGTAGTTTTCCATTCATGGCGTATCGTTTGTCAATGACTATTTGGCATGATAGACATTTCTTCATTCTCATTCCACAATCTTCGCAAGTAATTTGATGGCCGCAAGGATCGAATGTAACCAAGAGACAAATCTCATTACAGACAATACATTCTTGTGGTGCTTGAAGTTGTGGCTTTCCATTATAAGGTTGCGGTGTTGGGTAGCTCTTTTGTTGTTGTTTACGACTTATATGTTTGGATGACATTGGAAGTGGCGGTGATTGACTCGTATTTCTATTTGGCGAATTCGATAATGTATCTAAACTGTTAATTATTGATGTATTGGAAGATGTTGTTGGCTCTGCATGTGGCAAAGGCGGTGACGTTGTGTGATTTCTAGGAAGATTACGGATTTCGGTATTTAATTTCTTTTCATCTTCTGTCGATGATGTTGTTGCGGCTGATGGGGGTGGCGTTGGAACATCTCTCGATATATTATTATTGTTATTTATATTATTATTATTATTTGTTACTGTCTGACGATTTCGTCTAGCTGGTGTTGGCGGATTTGATGAATTATTTGTAGTACTCGTTGTTGTTGATGATAAATTACAATTATTAGCCAAAGATGAACTTCCACCACTATTATCTTGCTCTATAGTACTTATTGTTGCTGCTGCTGTTATTGTTGGATCTTGTGGAGATAAATTCATAACTTCAATGTTGTTATATAGTTCCGTCATGTCTCTCGATTGATTACAATCATTACTACTGCTTGCATTACTATTTGCCGGTACTATACGCTTCTTCTCATAACTTAAAATCAGGTCACGAAGTTCTGGTTCAGGTATCCAATCGAAAATTCTTGCACCTTTATAATTTGGTTCCATTTTACACCCTTCTTGTGCAAGATAACATAATAGCGTATACATTAGACGATTTTCTTGAATATGACTTAATTGTTGATAAATTTCGAAAATCTTTGGTGCTTCTTGTTGTGGCACTTCTTGTATGAGATTAGCTTTCTTAATTATGGTTAAATGCATTGCATTATCGCCATCTTCGTCCTTTGCCAATATATCACATCCTAACTCAACTAGTTTCTCAACTGCTGCTGAATGTCCTTGACTTACCGCCTGAAAATAATTCAAAATTTTAAATTAAAGATTAAAAAATAAATCCTACGATTTAAATTAATCTCTGATTTTAAACCAGAGCATGCAGCTTACCAGTAAGAAAGGCGTTTGACGTCTATCATTTCGTATATCCATATCAGCAAGTCCCTCTTTTACTAAAACTTCACAAACTTGACTATGTCCATTTAATGCTGCTAAATGAAGTGCTGAAAAGCCATCATCCTTTTTTACATCGACTAGCTGTCGCGCAAGTTGAAGGATGCGACGTGCTGCAAACTATTACAAAATTGAATTTTAATTAAATTGAATTTGCAGATGAAAATCGAATGAGAAAAACTTACGACATTTCCTTTCAATGAAGCATGATGAAGACAATTGAAGCCTCGCTTATTGCGAATTGTCAAGTCTAACGATGGTACGTTACATAAAAGCTCAACTACTTCGGAATTTTCCTTTCCTATTGCGTCATGTAAAGCTGAGTCGCCTGAAAGTTTTATTGAATTTTTATTATTAATGTTGTTGCCAACTTTTAAATTTTTTAATGGATCAACTTATTTCTTGAGTGTTGATAAAAATTCCACAACTGTTTTAGCGAATTTTGGAAATTCAAAATATAACGGATTTGTAAAATTCAAAATCTGAAGTTCAATTTTTGAACCATAATTTTTTCAAATATAAATTCAACAGTTTTTCTTCGATGTTTTTGAAATCAAGAATTCGGTAGCCACAAATTGGAAACAAAGAAAAATTAAAGCTCCCCCTTATCGAGCAAAAGCAATAAAGCTTAAAGAAAAAGAGTCGAGGAAGAAATTTTTCAATCAAAGGGATATTTACCATAAGAATCTTGAAGATTCACATCAGCATTAAATTCCAATAAAACTCGCACACAGTGCGGAGGCTTTTTATGTGCAGAAATGTGTAGAGCTGTACAGTGACTGGCATTAAGAACATTTATATTTGCTCCATGTTGTAAAAGAATTTTCATTATTTCTGGTTGATTGCCAAAGGCGGCATAGTGAAGTACTGAGTCTCCTTCCTTATCTACAATATTTACATTTGCAGCGACTGATAAGAGATATTCAACTAGCGCTTTGTGTCCTTGATGGGCTGCAACTTGTAAGCACGTCTTACCGCCGCTCATAACATCAACTTGATCTGGATTTGCACTATTTTGTGGAGATGAATAATAAGTTTATAAATATACGAGTTTTGAAATGCATCTATATTGTTATTTACCCTAAATAATGCTGTACGTATTCCAATTTTCCTTGTGCAGCCTCACGTACAAGCTTATCAGCAGCCGATGTGCCAGATAAACCTTGCAAAGGCATAAGAACATGATCTGTTCGTTGATGACTTAAATCCATCATACTATTTGATCTCTCAGCAGCTGTAGCTATTGGTGAACGTTCTAGTTTAACACATTTTGGATTTAATGTCCAAGCGACGCCATCATCAAGCTGTGTAACCCTCAAATCACCGTCAGCATAAATTTTAACGACTTTACATGTTTTTCCAAGTGCATTTCTCATTGTTTCAACCCACTCGCCGTGACCTTTCTGAAATTGTTGCACCTTACAAGCATCACTTATGATTGTAACTAAATCGCCCACATGAAAACTGAAGACTTTTACAAGTGCAGCTGGATGAAATGTCCATCGATTGGAACAGCCCTCGTATTGTACTCTAATTATTATTATTTTAATTGTTTTAAAATAGGAAATATGTTATTGATATGTCAGATGCAATTTGTACTTCCAATCGACTTACCTAATATCACCTTTCTCAGTTATTCTATGAACAGTTCCAATTTTACTAAGAAACTCTGCCATTCTCGGGTTCCAACCTCCATGACCTTGCTGTAATCTCATAAGACTCTCTTTATCTAAACATACTCGAACACGATCGCCAACATAAAACGTTGGTCTCGTCGCCTGTATGACAGGCTGTTGTTCGTCACGTTGCCCTAAGATCGGCATGTGATCTTTATAATAATATCCTCCTACGGCTGGTACAACGTACTTTAAATCAACGTTGCCTTTATGACCTGTCAATGAAATTATTGTAATGTCATTATTGAGTTCTTTTGTGGATTTATGATTATTTGTTTTATAACTAAGAAGCTTTTTGAATCTAGTGGAACCAACATCAAAAGCTGTTTGAAAATAAAACTTTTGACTGTGCTGTATATAATTCACGAATTCCTCACCTAATCTATAAACATTAGTTGATCCTGATGCCCAGGACACATTGGCTACACTACGACAAGATTCGTTATCCCATCCACGAATTTCCATTACACGTCCTGTTTTACCCTCACCACCATCCTGTTGTCCCCATTCCCAATCGCTATAATAACATGACACAATAAATAAATGATTCATAATTAACATTATGCTCGGAGGTAAAATAATAAATTGGGGAGAGAGGAATAAATCACTTCAGGAGATAGTATGTGATATAATTAAAATTTAATTATGTGAAAAAGATCTAAGCCTGTTAATAAATTGTATTCAATTAACTTACGGTCCACGGACAACTTTTGCATTCACAAATATGCCTTTAAGTTGTATTCGAACGGAACCAGCGCGCGGTGGAACACGAACACTAAAGTAATGATGAATATGAGGAAAACAAGTAGAATTAATTCAAAAAAAGCAACAAAAAAAAAATATTGTCTCATACCCAACAGAATTTGATGTCTGATATCGCACAAATGAATGCTCTAAATTGTGAACATCATTTCCATAGCAATGAGCACACAAGTCAAAATTGGCACATTCAGCACAACGGAAGAGAATCCCTGCAATTCCAGCTTTTTTGCATCCGTCACAAATTATATTTGGATGACGAACGCCAATCTGTGCATTATCAACTACTATTAGATCGTATTGACCTTGATATCCCACTCGATAGTTTGTGCTGGAATGGAAAATTGATGATAAAAAATTAATTTAATTACCCTGTTTTTTCGTTATAAGCTACTACTCGTTACTAAGCTACTAGTGAGCCTTAAAAAATCACTTTTTTATTCTTCTAAGCTACTAGCTTATAACGAAAAACTTACAGAAGTCCTCGTGTTATTGATCGAGGGACTTAAGCGCATTTTTGTGTTAGCGATCAGCATTTGATTGTCTATTTATTTTGCGTTCATTTACAGATCATTAGAAGATTAGAAGATCATTGATTTTAGTGCAATTAGCAAATAATTACAATGAATGCTTATATAGAAAAGATTTATTATTTAACGGTCAATAAATAATTTAAAATTTTCCCGCTAAAAGTTGCACTTCAAAAACAATAACTATAGTATAATTAATAATTTGTAGAAATGAATTTTCATATAGAAAAAGTCTATCATTTAACGGTTTTTTAAGATTCAAATTTTCTAACGGTCAGTAAGTTTTTGAAAGCTTTCCGCCAAAAGATACACAAAAAATCATTAATTATAGTATATTTAACAATTTAATATCTTTAATTCTCATAAATAAATTGTTTATCATTGAACGGTTTTCTGAAGTTCAAATTTTGTAACGGTCGTATGCATTTGAAAGTATCTTGCCAAAAGTTACAGTAAAATCATCAATTATAGTATAAATAACAGTTTGTTGCAAAAAATTTTCAAATAAAAAGGCTTTGTAATTAAACGGTTATTGGAGATTCAAAATTGTTCAACGGTAGAAATAAATTCGAATTTCTAAACGCTCTCATCACGTGTTTTTTCATATGAAATATAAAAATCATTACGTATAGTACAAAAACATTGTTTAAAGACTTTTAAATGCGTTTCCCGAAAATAAAACAATGGACCTGAGCTAATAAAACAAACTAGAACTCTCTACGATGTCTAGTTAAAAAGTTTTTCTCCGCCCGAACGAACAGACATAGTGAGATATTAAGCTACCTTTTCGAAGCAAGTTTCAAATTTTAGGAACCAAAAATGTGAAAGAATTTAATAACATTTTGACACTTACCGATGACCCGAGTCCCAATTAACGACGACTGTTTTCTCAGGCGAATGTGTTGAACCCGATCGACCAACTTCACACAAAGTTCCAACGTGACCTTCACCTCCGTCTATAAAAACACATTAAAGAAGAACAAAAAATTAATAAAAATAATTGAAATTGAATTTTTTTTTCGTTTATGATCTGTACAGGGCTATTGCCTCGGGATTTCTTTGAGGATGAAATCTTTATTTTGAGCTGATTTAATTAAGCAGATTCCGTAATTAAATCAAATTTCCACTTTGTATTTACAGCCAAAAAATAGACTTTTTCGTGTCTACACTCCGACTACCGAAACATTATTGCCTGTATATTTATTTATTTCTTTGAATCAGACACAGACATAATCCGTTGGTGATGTAAACACTCAAGAATTTCTTCATAACATAAACCTTTTTTTTATTCATAACGAATTTTTTAACATTATATTTAGCCTCTATCAAGCAATGTCTATCTTTCCGCTTCTGAACAATAAAAAGTCATAATTTATTTATCATGGACATTGAATTAGGCGATAAGCAATCATTAACTAGTATTAATGTATTTTTTTAAAGCTTTATTATTGTTTATTAAAAGACCTCTCACTTTTTTTGCTTGTTGTGCTGCACGCCGCAATAATTTGGAGCAGGTTTAAATCGCATTGATTCGGAAGTTCAATAACTATGTAAAGTCATGCTATAAAGTAGCTACAGCTGAGTAAAAAAAACATTTTTTCATTGCTAATGAGTTTCTTGAACGCATTTTCAATGCTTTTTCGTGCAGTTTAGTAGAAATGACTTTGAAAGAATTGAAGTTTGAAGTTTTGGAAGTAATAAAATAAAATTGAGATACGAACAAAGTTGCTTGGTATATAAATGAGGTGTATGAAAATATTCTCAATGTCTCTGCAAATATCTTGCAGTCAAGAATGAAGAATAGAATTTAATTATATTGTTGGGATTTCCACAACTATAATTTGTATTCAAGAATTTGGAAGTTATGAGAATTTTTAAGGTTAGAATGCAATTTTTTGGGATTTTCAAAAGCTTCTTTTCATTAGAATTTAAGATTGAACGAATGTGCCACAATCGTTTGTAGGAGTAGCCAGAAATGTTTGGAAATTTGGGGGGGGGGGGGGGGGGTTGACTACTTAATGGACAGTATTTTTGCTACTGAATGCAGATTAATATTTTGCGTTTGTTGAGAACAACTCTTAAGAATTTGCTTTCAATACTTGAGTTTTTGAGGATGGGTTTTTTGCCATGCTTCCAAATATGAAGTGAGTTCCTGCTGATGAGGGAATAAAGCTGTCTTAATGCGGTTTACATGAACATACATCGAGTCTGTTAGAGATTAGGTTAGATATAATGATTTATATCCAGAAACTCTCCTCCCTTAAAAATAATTCTGCCTGACAACACACCCTCCTTAAAAGATCTTATCTTAGTCCAATAAAAACATCATCAGAGCACCTCAAAACAAATTGAGACATTAAATAGTCTTGAGAAAAAAACTTAAGATCAAATGTCATCTAGATATGATTGACATGACTAGTTTATTGACTTTTTTTTATGGAAAACTAAATGATTGCCAAGGTCAATAACTTTACAAAATATTACATTTTTGGGGAAATCCTACAGCGAAACTGATGAGTTAATGGAAATCGAATATGTATGAGAATCAACTATGTATGCATGGATATTTAGAAATATGTTTATGGCTGCTCTCCGATTAATAAATTAAGAATATATTTATTTGCGATATTTTAGAGTTAAGCAATAGATCACGTTGGATCAGATAAGAGCTTTAGCTCCGTTATGTTGACATTAGGACTTAACATCCCCTATACAAAAATGTTTACTTTACATTGCTCATGAAAATACGAAGTCGTTCTCTTTTTATTTAGGAATCAAAGGGGTTTCAAGAAGTATTTAATAATAGGTTTAAAACATAAAATATTTGAAAAAAGTTCGTTACTGTGTGAACGGTCTATAATAGCTAAAATGCAAGCAGCAAAATATATCGATTGGAATTAGATTTATTCAAAGAGCAACAAAACACCCCACAAAAAAAAAGATAAGCAATTCTGTGATAATAAAGTTAATTTGTGTGAAAATCAAGCCGACAAATCAATAAATCCCATTACCACGTCACAATTGAGCGCCTCTTTGAGGATGTTCAAGCACCGAATAAAAACCCAATCAAGCAAGTCAATGTGAATACAGCTAACGAACACTAAAGCCCCCCCAAAAATAAACTTTGTCGAATAAGAAGTTTCACACACAATATTTCTCTCTTTACCCGCAATTTCCATCATAATCAATAAACCATGAAATAATAAAAATTCAACTTGAGGCAGCCAGATTTCTATTTTTGTATATATGAAGCATGTACACAATGTATTTTTGCACTAAACGCTTAGTGTACTCATGCTTCCATTAGAGTCAAGTGCAATTTCCTATAAAAAGCAATTCTACATTCCTCTTTTTTTTATTTTTTTGTTCATCCTATTGTTCTCAACTCTAACAATGCATCTCTCTAGATTATTTATTTTAAAGCTTTTCATGTTGCATCTCTTTTATTGTTCTTCTCCGTACACAAAATAACACAAGAAGGAAGAAATTATTTGACGTTCGAAAAGTGATGCATTTTTAATGTCATATTGCATGTGTTTACCATAAAATAGCATTTTTTTCTACTTCTTTAAATGGATGAAAAATAGTTTTGAGAGAGAAAATCGAGAGATATTTTGTCATCTTATGGAATTGTGGAATGAATTGAGTTTGTTTGAGATATCGATCTCGATTTTTTATATTGCAGTGGTGTTCGACTTGTGTGTTATGCGGTGTGAACATTTTCTGGTTCTGGATTGTAATAATTCAGCTATTGGTCCAGAAGCATGGTCCAGCACTATTCGAACTTAGACCCATGTAACACTTAAGTATTCACGAATAAAATCTAAGTACGGAGTATGGTTTTAATTCTGTGTGTTTAGACAGACTTAATCTGACTTTTCCAGACATTTTGAATATTTACAAGCTCCAATAAATATTCTATAAAGTCCAAATCAACTCCCCCTTCCCCTCGTGGCTATGCCCTGTGATATGTCAGTGATTGTCAGATACGTATCTTGAGAAATCTTAAATTTGGGATTAATCAAAGTGAACCTCAACATTAGCACGATGAACAATACTCAGACTGAAGTACCACAAACCCAAAATAGTTAAGAACCACTGTATTACATCTCAAAAACGATCAATAACAAATTAAACTGATTTTTTTAATAACAATATTATAGATTGCAATCAAGGCTATTAAACAAATGATTTTTATTGCTCATTATGACTTCATCAATTTGTTAAAAAGTAATAATTTGTATGCAAAAAATGAGGTTTCCATTTTTGTGGACGAAATAAATCAGAAACAGCAATTATTTTTGCATAAATTCAATTTTATATTAATGATTAATTGAAGATTCCTTCAATTGTGGCTTGCTAGGCATCTTTTTGATTTGTTAAATTATTAAACTAGCTAAGTTATAGTTTTGTAAGGTTATAGATCATTGTCACTAGATATATTTTTGCAGCAAAATTGATTTTTTGATTTGATTTTTTTGAACAAGCATTCTAGAAGTCATTAATTAGAATCACAAATCAGTCAAAAGAATGATCGAATCGCATAGACAATATTTTTTATCAAGGATAGTCTATTGTTGTTCGATATTCAGTCAACCTAGTCTTGGTATTAAGTATTTGGATATTGAATAGAATTTTTAAGTACGAATTTCTGATCTAAGCACATGGACACTCGTTAGCAACCGTTAAAGACAGAGTTTTAAACAAGGTGACACAAAATGACAATGGTTTCATACTTAATAGCAAATGTTGGAAATTATAGGATTTGTGAACTTAATCCCATGAATTAATCATAATAAATGTTTGGATTTTAAATGGCTTTGGTGTACTTTTAAAATAATAGATTTAAAATAATTGAAAACTTTTTTGTGGGCTTTTTTACCACTTTTAAGGTAGACATGCTCGCTTTTAATCAATATTTGTCGCAAAATTTTAAAAAAAGGCCAAAGCACTAGCATTTATTATTCATTACAGAATCGGAAACACGTTACGTTTCCAGCTGTGCACTATTCTGACAATATAAAGCAATAGGATAATGTCATCACACCCAGCTGTCTTCTTATGTCAGTAGTAATAACAATATCCCATGCAGACGTCTAAATAAAAGTGACTGGATTTGATTTCTTAAGGATATTGTAACTGTAATGTGATTTTACTGAATAATTATGTTGAATTCTATGATTTTATCGGTATGCTAGATATTATGCTAGCAATTTGTAAGCATTGCCACTGAAAATTGAGTTCCAAAACTTAAATCAAGCATATAAAACCTCAAAATTGCTAGTCAATTTTAAAAATATCTCAAGTCAAATGTGTGAAATTGGATAAAGTTTACAAAACACGATCCAAATTTAGAAAATCTAAATGAAAGAATTTTCTGCTTGAGAACTGCCTAATTTGGTGATGTATGTCAATGAAGCTAATTTGAGAAAAGTTCATTCCACCACAAAATTCACAAATTTCACATTCTACACGAGATTCTATAGTCAGAAAACATTTTCACTCTAATTTACTTAGAAATTGAATGGAACTTCTAATGAATCAAATGAGTCATGCACAGCAATTTTGGTCTTGAATCATATTAATCTAAATTTCCTTCTACTTCCTGTAGTTTCATTCTCAATGTAATTCAATCATTGATAACTTAGATGTATTCTAGCATCATGGAAATGCCAATATCCTCTTTTAAGCGATCCTATGTCAATTCTGTTAACAAAATCTCGATTTTCGAATTTAATGAAATGCAGTTGAGTCGAACTAGGAAGAGATAATCTTAATGACATTTTAGTTCGTATGCTCTCTATGAAATTGAGTTGGTATTCATGCATTCAGTCTTACAGGGTTGCATTGACGACTCCTTCCTTCCAATGCTTCAGCAAACTCACTTTGCCTTGATTTTAATGCAACCAAAAACAGCTTAAATTTGTTACACTCAAACTGATTTTTTTTAATTCTT